GATGTACCTTTTCAAAATGACTTTTACTGATTAAATTTAATCAATAGAAGACATTTTGAAAAGGTACCTCTACAATTAGATATACAAGAGATTCAAAGCTTCATTTCAGATAGATTTGAAACTTTGAAACTCTTGGTAGATTTTGAGTGAATGCTGACAATCATCTTTGAGAAGGTTTTCTTAAAGAAAACCTTCTCAAAGAGGTTTCTCAGGAGCCCTGAGGCTCCCTTTCGTAATGATTGGGAGCCTTGGGGCTCCTGAGACGAAGAATGGCTTCGCCGAATCTTTGATCAGCAGAGGCCAAATGAAAAGGCCTCTACTGATGGATTCTCAGGAGCCCTGAGGCTCCCTTTCGTAATGATTGGGAGCCTTGGGGCTCCTGAGACGAAGAATGGCTTCGCCGAATCTTTGATCAGCAGAGGCCAAATGAAAAGGCCTCTGCTGATGGATTCTCAGGAGCCCTGAGGCTCCCTTTCGTAATGATTGGGAGCCTTGGGGCTCCTGAGACGAAGAATGGCTTCGCCGAATCTTTGATCAGCAGAGGCCAAATGAAAAGGCCTCTGCTGATGGATTCTCAGGAGCCCTGAGGCTCCCTTTCGTAATGATTGGGAGCCTTGGGGCTCCTGCAGCAGAGTATCGCTCCGCTCCATTAATTTTTTTTAAAAAAAAGTGCCGTGTGGCAAATTTGTCCTGTTCCCTCTCCTAACACATAACTCCACAACTACCCAAGTACTATATTGCCACTCCTTCCCGCATTGCATTTGAGAAACATTAAAAGTGGCGACAAGTGCACTTGCCATGGCATATTGTTGCGCGTATATACTACTTCTAATGAAAGAAGCAGTATATACGCGCAATTCGAGTGAGATTGCAGCAGAAAGTCGAGAAGAGAGCCCTTTCTTAAGGTTAGGACTCCCTTCTCGACTTTATTATACAATGAAATATAAATCATAGTATATTTTTGTCACTTTTCACATCGTATTACCCCGATAGAAACAAAACAAAACGACTTTCTTGATATATCAATAAATGGCACGGATAATTTATTGGATGCATTGGAAAAATATTTTAATACATATCCTATTGAGCAAAATCGATTTCAAAAAGATGAAATATTAGAATGGCCCAAGTATTTAATCATACAATTAAACTTTCGTAAGACGAAATGGTGGAAGTGAAGTGATGTTGAAACCTTGATATTTCCTCGAAATTTCTACAAAACATATATTAGACATAAAGCATATATCTTATTTTATTAAGAATGTTGAATAATAATATTATTAAATATTAAGCTTTAAAAAAGCTAATTAAATTCAAAAATGAATATATATTATTATTGGATAAATATTAATCAGAACAAATGATTTTTTTATTAATGCTATGTAATAAACAGAAATTCATCAAAAGTGACAGCTCTCAATTTTTGACATTTGTAAATTCTAAATTGAATGAGAAAAATGAAATAACACTAAGCATAATACAATATTCTAGATTTAATTATAATTAGGAAAAAGTTAGTTTTGAGAGTACTTTTCATAGGCATATAGAATGAAATCTTCTGAAAAATAATATCACATAAACTCATATTATTTTCTAATATATAACTATTTTATATAAAAATCAAATTCAATGATCTTAAAAGCGAAGGATAAACCTCAAAATTTACGAATATAATGAGTGGGAATATAATGCTTATCTATCATAAAACCATATGAAATATCAATTTTTGCTTTACGCCTAATTTTTGACGACAATTAGCAAAAAATGTTAAATGTTAACACTCAGTCCATTTGAATATGAAAAATAAAATTGACTTTGATTAAATGTTTTTATTTATCATGCAATTCTTCTTGCGACCAAAGATTTGAATAAAAGTTCAAAAAATAAGATAGCTTAAAAAATAATATACGGTAGTGTTTACTAATAGATGAATAGTATATAAATTCTATTAAAATGGATTTGATCCAAAAAAAATATAAAATTTGATCATAAATAAAATCGTTTTAAATTACTTCTTCATTTAAATTATAACAATTATTTTTGATTTTTATTTATCATCCACATTCAAATTTGAATCTTATCACAAAAGAAGGACCACTTTTATGACTACTGCCAAATCTATAAACAGAGAATGGCTATTTGAAGCTAAAAGAAGAATAGAAGAAGGTGAATATTACAAAAGTGTGGGAAAGGAAGTTGAATTGGAAAATGGTAAAATTAAATTGAATGTTGCCGAAAATACAATAAGAAGAGCATTTCAACTTCAAGAAATCGAATTACCAAAAGTTAGTCGCGGCAGAAAACCAAATCCACCAACATTTGAACAAAAACAATTAATTAATTCTTGTGTTTCACAATATAAAGGAGGAATTTCAAAAACTTATTTATTGATTAAAAGGTTTCAAAATATTGTTCAAAATCCCGATTGTGAGAAAGAAAAAGAAGAAATTGCAAAAGAATTTGAAAATATAGAAGATTTGACAAAAGATCAAATTTTTGACAATTTACAAAAAATAAAGCCTCATCAAGTGGAAAAATTTATGATGGAATCAGGTTTATCTTCAAAAAGAGATTACAAACCAGCAGATCCACCTACCAAATATCGTGCCATATCAAAGAATTTGATATGGCACTGCGATATTCATTACCTTCACGGTAATGTTTCTTTTCCATTCTTTGCCATATTGAATGATATGACACGTAAAGTTCTCAAAACTAAATTATTGAAAAACAAGTCTTCCAACTCAACAGCGAATATTTTAAGAAAACTTTTAGAGGAGTTTATCCCTTACTGCATCTGGACCGATAACGGCGGTGAAAACCGCGGTGAATTCGGCCAGGTTATGCAGGAAAACGGAATAGTTTGGAAGCACACCTTGCCGTATATGCCAAGACAGAACGGCAAGGTGGAGCGCCTGTGGCCAAGCTTAGAAAAGTTTTTGCCAGACGAGTTGGATGATATTCAACAAATCAAGGACTCAGTTCAGCAGTTCATTGAAAAATACAACAATACACCACATTTATCTCTCGATATTAATCCAAAAACGAATAGTAATTACACTCCTAACGAATTATTCGAAGTTTCAAAATTTTGGTACGAGCCAGAAATGCAAAAATGGGAGTTATATATCAAAGAGGAATGGGTTTTAGCAAAATTTGAATAATTACATCATTTTAAATGACTTCTAAACAATTTTATTTATGATCAAATTTTATATATCTTTTTGGATCAAATCCATTTTAATAGAATTTATATACTATTCATCTATTAGTAAACACTACCGTATATTATTTTTAAGCTATCTTATTTTTTGAAATTTTATTCAAATCTTTGGTCGCAAGAAGAATTGCATGATAAATAAAAACATTTAATCAAAGTCAATTTTATTTTTCATATTCAAATGGACTGAGTGTTAACATTTAACATTTTTTGCTAATTGTCGTCAAAAATTAGGCGTAAAGCAAAAATTGATATTTCATATGGTTTTATGATAGATAAGCATTATATTCCCACTCATTATATTCGTAAATTTTGAGGTTTATCCTTCGCTTTTAAGATCATTGAATTTGATTTTTATATAAAATAGTTATATATTAGAAAATAATATGAGTTTATGTGATATTATTTTTCAGAAGATTTTGTGTTCTTCTTCAAAATTTTATTTTTTATTAAAAAGAATCTTTACGAAATATACATTTACTTTAATTAATATTTAAAAACGTGCTCTATCAAAAGTTCCAAAAATTCAATATTATAGCTTTTCTGAGGTGTCACTTTTGATGAATTTCTGTTTTCAACACTAGACAAAAACAATTATATTAGATGCACATGATTAACATCTCTTGGTCTGATGATGTTTTTCAATTAAAAGATTATTATATACAGTTGAATTTACAAAATTCTTAATTCATAATTGCATGGCACAAGAGAGGTATGATCTGCTTATATGTTAATGATAGATATACCATATTATTTCCATTACTATAAATAACTTAAAGAAATATATCTTCTAAGTGTATTTTTTGTTCAATTTTGTTTGAAAAAAAAATTAAAACGCATTTCTTATCTTGTTTAGCTTTGATAAGTTGGATTAAATAATATTACTAAATACAAATCATGATAACAATTATATATCCATGCTAAATGCCTGAAGATCTGGTGAAAATATTGAGATATGCCTCACTTCCATCATTTCGTCTTACCACATAAAAATATGTGATTTTTAAAACAAGTTAGCTGATATGCTTTTAACAAAACCGAATCAAAAGTATTCAAAAAAATCTGAAATTGTAAAATATCTTAATCAAAAATAAAGGGTTGATCTTCATTTTCGGGATTTCAAAAAAATTTGGAATTTCACCTCCCAAACACACAGATTGTCCAGTTCATTGGCATAGAGAATATCCGATTTCCAGTGTTTTACTCTGAATCTTATTAGTTAAATACCGAATTTCGAACATAAATTCATCAAAATCGAATAAAGAGACTACCAAAAACGACACAAATATAATCAAGTCACAATCATTTAACAGGAACTCCTTAAATGAAGATTTTTACAATTTTAATCTCTATATTTTAGAAAAAAATATGCTCAGTCACAAACACAATTACTATGTTATGGAACAAGGCATTGACACTCGAATCTCTGGCCAATTCGAGGAACATCCAAAATTTCAATAATCTTATCCCACAGAATCCATAGCCCAAAAACTTTAATTTGCATAGTACATTTGAAGACGAATAATATTAGTCCAATTTTTTTTAACTTTGAAATTTTCAAAGATACAAAATTTATTACATTTAGAATTAATGCATTAATATATGCATTTGTTCCGTACCGAAAATGAACTTTACAAAAAGTGACATGAAAAGTCTTAATTACATTAAAGCCAAATGTAAACTTCATTGAGAAAAAGCAGTTTTGTCTCGTATTCAACGTAAAATCTTCAAAAGAAGACTAAACAAAAAGTGCTACACTGATAACAAAGATGAATTTCACATGGAACGCGATGATTCAATAACTGCAGAGTTGCGACATACAATTGCGGAAAATGTATGGACAACCACATGTAATGGTGGAGAACCATCGTATCTTTCAGAGGTCGAATTACTTGATTTTTATGGTGAAATCAATCAAAGAGCAAAAGGTCTTGCATGTGAAAAGGTAATCGAAGCTTATCAGATTGCCTACGAATTACTGGAGTATAGATACAGCAGAGCTTTATATCTAGCTGGCCTTGTTCATCCAGACGAATTTCCAACAAGAGGAAAAAGAATTGTTTACTTCGCTAGAAGTATATCTCCCCTCAAGATCATGGTTAAACAGAGTTTGCTCTGATCTCAACATTGAGATCAAAAGCTCAAAAGAAAATGAGGAAAAACGAGCAAAGTACTGTAACACAGCAACAGTTGCTAACTTCTTACATTAATTTCAGTATACGGCAGGAATTGATCCATGGAATAAGTGGAGTATTTATGAAACATCTCTGCTTCATCAAAGCGTTACAAAGTTATCTGCACTGAAAGCAACCCTCCTTTAACCAAAGAAGAGCATGAATTTGTGCTTGTTACTAGTATCTTCCCATATAATTCTGAAGGATACCGGA